TCTCTCTCTCTCTCTCTCTCTCTCTCTCTCTCTCTCTCTCTCTCTGTCTTTCCTGAAGGCCTCAGCTGTCCGTCCTGACATCATCTTACCACTGTCTGCTCTTCAAGCATCTGTAGCTGTCCTGAGTGTATAAATCCATTGAGGTTTGGCACATTCTTTTACCCAGGACTGAGGCCGGACAGGCCTAGGGAGAGTCTCCAGATGAAGCAGAACTGTGTGCAAAGCTCTGCAACCCTTGCGGGCACTGACTCAGCACAGACTCTGGACCTGGTCCAGCCTAGAGGACGCTATGCTGAGACCACTGCAGCTCTGCTCTCTCCCGGCCTCCTTCCCTCCCTCTGGCAGGTGAATGTACCATAAACTTGTACTCAGAAAGCCTCTTCAAAGCCTAAAGGTGGGCCTCCATGCTTCCAACCCAAGCAGAATGGCATGCCCAGTTGTCTTACCATTCTGGTGGCACACTAGTTCTGCTTCGTTCTGAAGCCACTCTTGGGGGTTTATTGGCAGACAGCTACCACCATGAAGGAGGAAGCAAATACCCACCTGATGCAAGGACCTTTCATGGAGATGGATATGTGGAGAGCATCCTCAGAAGACACTGGGCTAAGAACTCAGGTTTTGCTCATGTGCTATATTGGGCACTCAGGGCTCTCCAGAGAAACAATACAAGCTGTATACTGAGACACACAGCAAGAGGCTTCTTATAGGGATTTGGCTCACGATTACAAAGCCTGATGAGTTCCAAGATCTCCAGCTGGAGACCCAGGAGATGTAGCTGAGCAGCTCCTGTCCAAAGAACACAGGCTCAAGATCCCAGAAGAGCTGATGTTTCTGTCTGAATCCAAAGGGAAGAAAAGAAAAAGAAAAAGGCCCAGCTCCAGGGCAGGCGGGAGGGATTTCTTCCCTGTCTGGGAAGGGTCAGATCTTTGGCCTCTTTAGCCTTCGGTCCACTAGAGGAGGCCCGTCCATGTTACATGAGTATCCGCTTTACTCTGGACAGTTAAATGACGACATTCAAAACACCCTCACAGGAACGTCAAGAATATTATTTAGCCAAACATCTGGGCAAACTCTGGCCCAGTCAAGCTGACCAACAAAAATTTACCTTTACAGGATTGGACCTTTCTCATGCCATATTAAAACAGCATCAGGGTGCAGCCAAGGGCTGCGCTCCCATTCTTCCTGGAACTCTTCCTTAGGACACCGTAGAGCAACCACGCTTCCTGTCACTTCCAAACTATGAGCCACTGGGCCCCGTGAGCAACCTGAGGACAGGGACCCTGACTCAGCTGGGTTGCTGCATCCAGTGTTTTCCAAAGCCTGCCACACCGAGGTCCTGATGTAAAGGCCTCATGAAGAAAGAGTAAAGGAGCAGAGACTGGCTGAATGAGGTGGCCATCTTTAAACCCACCTGGTCATGGGAACTGAATGTAAATATCAAAGCAGAACTACAAAGGGTCAAAGCATAAGCTGCAAAAACACTACCAAAGAAAGGTTGCCCTGCCCTGGAAGGCAGTCCCTGTGTCCTGTGTGCCTCTGAGCAAACCATGCAATGTCTGTCCCAATCTTTCTGACCCAGCCTTCCAAGTCCTGAGATTACAGGGATGAGCCACCAGGCTGGACTAGTAGGGTCATTTTTATTCCACCAAAGCCAAGAATAGTGTGCCTGTGCCCTCCACTGTCTGATTTTATCCTCAGACTCCACAGGGTGCGGCCCCACCCCTTGTCCCACCCCCTCAGAGACTTTGTCCTTAGGGAGAGCCAGTCCAGGGCTGCACAGCCTAGCGACCTGACCAGCCACCACATTTCCTTCTTTTTCCAGTCTAAAAATAAGATCTGACCCCTTTACAGGTCACACATTTACTGCTGAAGTCTTCCTGTGGGCTGGGGAATGTGAGCTGAGGCCACGAATCTTGCCATGAATATCCTTCCCGGGAACAGCTCAGGGCACAGTGCAATGTGTGCAAATGACCATGTCCTGATGGCCCATCTCTGGACACTCCCTGAAGGCTGAGGCTGTGATGCCCAGGGCTTCTGAGAAGAAGAACTAAGACGCATCTACCTTCCTCCTCTTCCTAATGAAACTACCTCTTTCTGGAACTTCCACCCTCTTCCCTCATCCCTATGAAAGCAGATCTATTTTTGGCAGATCCATACACAGAGTCAGATTCTCACACTGCATGAAGGAAGGGGAGAGCAGAGGAAACAGTCCCGGAAAGGGGACAGTTAGGGGAGGGATAATCCGCCCTTGACCTGGTACAAGCTGAGCTCTGCAAGCTGGTCGGGTAAAGCCCTGAGCACTGAGCAGAGCCTATGGCGCTGGAGTTCCTGGGGCCACTTTACCATCTGCTGGGGCTTGGGATGATTCTGTGACCCTTTCTTTTGGAAGGAAAGGCTCATATACATGGCTACTAACTTGATGTCAGAATTGTGCCTCCCGGGAAAGATGGGCGCGATGCCCCTTGAGAGGTGTGATGAGGATGAGGAGACATCTATTGCATCAATGTGCCTGCCCTGCTGGGACTGAGATTAAAGACCGAAAACTGACTCTCAAGGCACAGCATTGACCCAGGCTCAACAAAAGCCAGCTCTGTGCTGGGGACAGGAAGAGCAGTTTGGCGTGGCTGGCTGTACCTATCACGGAAGACTGCCGGGCACAAGTTGTCTGTGACAGTAGGAAGCTAGCTGTATTGGTCACTTTCCTCAATGCGACCACAAAACACCTAACAAAGGCAACTCCAGGATGGCAGCGTTTATTTTGGCCCACAGCTTGAGAGTACAGTCCACCATGGCAGGGAAGGCATGGAGGCAAGAGCGTGAAGCAGCTGGTCACATCGCACCATTGGGAAGCAGGGAGGTGAATGCTGGTGCCGAGCTCCCTCCCCGCCTCCAGCATATTCAGTCTGGGACTCCTGTCCCTGAGGTGGCGCCATCTGCCATTAAGGTGGATCTTCACCCCACAATTATTGCCAGAAATTCCCACACAGAAATGCCTGAAGCTTTGTCCCCTGGGTGATTCCAGATCCCATCAAGTTGTCCATCAATATCAATTGTCACAAAGACCATGAGTGTTTATGGTGTTGGTGGACCCTTGATAGCTGGTCACCAAATACAGGAGAGTCTTACCTCTGAGGCTGACCATGGAGCCACACTGCTGCTCTCACGGGAGCCTGCCAGCACTCGGTGTCAGCTCTCCCTTCCCGGGAGCCCACGTACTACTGTGTGGCTCCGACAGGCAAATGCTATGAAAGACAATTCAATTCCCCAGCTGCAGATGGCCATTTTCAGCCTCCTGGCCAAGCTGAAATGCCTGGGCCCAGGCCAACATCCTTGTCTCTATTCCTTTCTTATACAAATATTCTTGTTTCCAAGGCTTTTCCTGAAGTTTTTCACTTCCCTTCATCTACAGGAAATGTCTCTGAACCTCAGTTTGAAATCCAACCCCAGAGAATTTACAGTGGAAACATGACCCAGACACATAAATCCAGAGAGAGAGAGAGAGAGAGAGAGAGAGAGAGAGAGAGAGAGAGAGAGAGAGAGATATCCCTGTTAGACTGACCCAGGAAGCTGAGGCATAGGAAGGCTCTTTGTCCCATGCCCTTTCCCATCCTCCTTAAGAAGCTGGAGAATGCTGGGAGACACCTGAGCACAGTCACCACTGTGGGCATCCCAGCTCCCTTTCCTCTACGCCCCCCCCCCATCCCAATGTCCCTCACCTGGTAGGCAGCTTCTCTCATGAACTGCTTGGCTGGCTGCTTCCAGATGGCAGGCACTGTGATGACCCATCTGACATCAGAGTTCTCAAAGTCCGACCCTGCCTGGTCACTCAGCTCCTAATGTCAAGAAGAGTAAATGGAACAGGTGGGGAGATGCTGCTGGTCCCCTGGGACACACCTCCTGTGGCTCTGCTGAACAGTCAGGATTTTATCAGACTCCAGAGGAGCCTGTGCCTGGCCCCCACACATAGCAGTGTGCGGGCCGGGTGCTCCTGGCTCTCATTTATCTCATCACCCACGTCCTTTAGGGGACTGTCCTCATTCCTATACCCCTAGCTCCCTGAAAACTGCTGCCTCTATGGATTTACCTGTCATGAACATTTCATACAAATGGAATCATATGATGTGGCTTTTATATATTGTTTCTTTTGTTTTACAAGACGTTTTTAAAGTTTATCCATACTGTAACATGTATCAGTATTTTACTCCTTTCTTGTGGCTGAATGACATTCCAATGAACAGACGCACCACATTTGGTTATCCATCAGTTGATGGACATTTGAGTTGTTCCCACTTTTTAGGTATTATGAATAATACTGCTATGAACATTCATGGAACAATTTTATGTGCACATGTTTTCATTTCCCTGAGGTGTGTGCCTAGGAGTGGAATTGCTGGGGGATGTCTGTGTTTATCTTTTTTTTTTGGTGGGGGGGGGGGACTTCCAAATTTGTTTCAAAATGCTGAGCCATTTCACCTTCCAGCCAGCAGTGCTGCAGAACACGCTCCACTGTTCTGACCCCAGAGCCTACCTCTCCGCCCTGCAGGCGGCACCTCTGCCCAGCTGGTGGGTACAGCAGCCCCAGATGGCCTAACACACGAGGGGCTGACTGCCACATCCTCACCTTCAGCGCCTGCTCCTTGAAGTACTGCAGGGCGTATGTGAAGATTTCCAGGGCTTTGACTTTCTTGCCATTTGCCGCTATCAGGTCCGTGTCCATGGTGAGGTCCTGGGGGAAGAAAGACGCGTGCCGGTAGAGAGGGGCAAGGAGAGCCGGGCCTTTGGTCGGGGGAACTGCTGTTTGGAGGTCAGCGGAATCTACGGGTGCACTCCCAAAGGCACCGGACAGTAATGCCCCCTTACTGTAGAAGAGTTCTGGCTGTTCTCTCCAGGCCCCACCTCATGGCACCCCCATCCTTCCCTTCCCCCCTCTCTCTCCCTTTGTTGGATCCTCAGGAGTCGGCATCTCTGGCCAATAGCAGGTCCCGGGAAGAACGAGTGGGTAGCAGGTGCCAAGCCCAGGGAAATTTACATGCGACTTCCAGACACCAGTCACCCTTGGGAGCCCTGTGATAGCAGCTTAAATCATGCCACTTCTCTGCCAAGCAGGATGCTAACACACACGAATCTCTCCTTCCCCGGTGAGCTGCCAGCCAAGTCCCTGAAATAGAAGAGCTCCTATTTTAAGGCCGGTTCTGTCTAATCTGCTGAAAGGGAGGCATGGCTGCCTCTCTGGCTCTGTCAGAAGCCAAAGCAGCTGTTATACATAGTCCCCGGGTAGAGGACGCTGTGCAGAGGCCAGATGGTGGGTGGAAAGAGGTCATCAGAAAAATGATGAGCAGGTCTCCAGGGGGAGAGAATGGGTGGAGCATGGAAGGAAGCCCCTGGACTAACCTGCTTATTAGTGCCAGGAACAAGTTAATCAGTAGACACCAGACTGACGCAGCTACATAACTGCCTTTGTTTTAGGTAGGGCCACAAGTTACTAACGGGTCCTTGTGGAACCTTTGTGTGTATTCTAAACCATCTCCTCATGCTCCCTGCTCCCAGCCAGCACCCGCTTCTCCTGGTGTCCAGCAAAGCCTCCCTGTTTCTAGACTCTCAGGCTCAGGGAGGCGGCTGAGTCCCATGAAGCTACACTTCATCCTGTGTATCCACTGCCCAATCCTGACAACCAGCATGGAGTCCCACGCGGAGAAAAGGGGTGAGTCCTTTGCAGTCCAAGCTGATCCACGGCCCAGAAATGCAGCCTCACGTGAGCCTGGAGCCTTGGACGGCGAGGAGCCGGCGGTGGCTTTCCCACCACCTCTGCGCTGCCATCTGTAAATGCTAATGGAAGCCACTTGACTATCGCGTTCCCTCCTCTGGAGCACCGTGCATTTCTACCACTTGGATCCTTATATTCTCCTGGTGAGCAAGATGCTATAACTGTCTGCATCCTAAAAAGGAGGTGTAACGAAGTACAGCAAGGTCACATGGCTTGGACTAAGTGTCTTGGAGGAACCAAGAGTGAAACTGAAACCCAAGGTATGCGGCTCAGAGTCGGTGGTCTTCATCTAGCCCCCACCTTTCCCATGAAGCTCTGGGGCAGGGATGTCTGCTGGACCCAGGCATCTCACAGAACTTGCTCAGGGTTTCAGAAGAGAGGCCACTGCTCTGGCATTCAGGCCTCTAATGGCTGCTCCACTTGTACTTGGCTTCTTGCTCCACACACAGACAGTGGCCTGTCCAATGTTACTGGTTGTTACTTCCAAACCAACCAGCTAATAGCCACAGCCCTGACCCACCTTCCCTCCTTGGGCCTTTGGACACAAGTTGGTCTCAGTGGATAGAGGGCAGCAAGGTGGCAATACCCTATACCTGTGTCACAGCTGGGGTCTTCTCAGGCTTGTCTGCTTTCTAAACAAAACAAACAGCTAAATACCCCCAACCCCCCTGCCCTCCCCCCACCACAGCAGGAAGAACTGTCAGTCCACAAATGGATATGAGGAGCCCTGCACTCCAGGCTGTTTCCAAGAGCCAGTCAGATGGGCATTCATTTCTGTTTGGGGCAACCTGGAGGGCTCCGGTGGAACATTCCTCACACTAAGGTCCCTTGCTCTCCTAGAAAAGCCAGCTCACCCCTGTGGTGTGGAGTTTCATCTTGAACTTCTCCAAGTATAGCCACTGCTTGGCCTCGTTGGGGTCCAGGTCATGGTAGAAGTCCCTGGCAGCGTACCCAAAGCTGTGGAACTTCCTCTCTGGTGTCAGCAAGATGGTGGTCGGGGTCTTCTGGTTGGAAACGCCAGGGTCACCTCCCTCCCATCTCCTGTCACCAAGGGAAAGCAGAAGTTACAGGTCTTTGAAAACCCCAGTCCAGTCAGCATAGTGGAGCTGAGTACCTGCTATGCGTATGTCTGTCACTGAGTGCTCAGACTTACTCTGTATCAGCTAACATCTAGACACACCTCAGAATGAGAAGAGGCAAAAACCAGGTTCTTACTCAAAATAAGCTGTGTTTATCTTTCACTCGGTGTTTGCTGAGCACCTACTATGTGCCACATGCTGGTGTCACAGGGGACAAAGCTTATCATGCTTCAGCCTTCCAATAATACAAAGTCTGGATGGTCATACATTTTCTTTTGTTTTTTATTGCAAGCACTCAGACATGGATACAGAGCTGGCCGGAATCCTCTTCTAAATAGGATGGGTGTGAACAAACACATCGAACCTTCCTGACCAGGGAAATGGCCTAAAGGGCCAAAGAAGGTATTCATAGTGACTGGTGGGGCCCAGGAGACAGGACTCAGGAGAGAATGGAAGATGGGGAGAACAAGTAGACCTCAGAGAGAAGGTCACTCCAGGCTACTCTGAGGTGAGCTGGCCCAGGAAGCTAAATGATGGTGTTGGTCAGACAAAGCGTGTGTATGTGAGAAAAGCCACATGTAAATAAGAAGAGCGAGGAATGAGCTGGGAAAGCAGCAGAGCCAGGCTGGAGAGAAGCCCGCAGACTTGGGTTTAATCTGTGAATAATGGGGGTCCCTGAAAGCCTAACAGATCAGAGATGCTGCCATTGAGAACAGACTGAACTCAAAGGAATGGAGGCCAGGAGGCAGATGCAGAGGTCAGGCCCAGCCTGGGACAGAGCTGAGAGAGACAAGAAGAGAGAGGTGAGTACCAAACAAGTCCAGAGGGAGATGACAGCCAAGGAGCCTCAGGACCCTGCAGTGGGGAGCACAGACAGTGACCTGGAGTGCTGGGGAGGAGGGGGCCTTAGGGGAGCACCCAGAAGAGCACAAGCATTTCACCGGAGGGGAAGGCCCCAGACACAACTTCCAAAGCTCAGTGACAGCCCCAGTGACAAGAAGGGATGGCACTAGGGGTCATCCAGGACCAGTCAGTTATAAACTGAGGAAGCAACAGCAGAGGCAGAGGAGGGCACAGGTAGACAGACACAGGTGTGCAATGGGACAGAAGGAAAAGCAAGAGCCAAGGACACAGTGTGGGGAGGACAGGCTGCTCATGCTTCTTCTCTCTTTGGGGTCCCTGCCTTCCAGAAGCCAGGGCTGCCAAGAGCTGTGTCCTTCCCTGCCAAGCTTAGACCCGAGAGCAGCCTCAGGGGGAGACTGGGTGCCAGACACTGGCCCAGTCCAGCAGGGGAGGGGGCAGCTGCAGCCCAGGCTGAGTTCCAGCCTGTTCTCGTGCGCATCACTACAGTCAGCATGAGGAGACGTCACAGGGCAGATGGGTGCCTCCCTCCCGAGGGACTTCCACTCGATGGTTCTGGCATTATCCCTGGCCAGCTTCCCAGTCAGGAAGCATGTTCTCCCTCAGGCTAAGTGTCCTAGGTGACTGAATGGGGACATGGGGTGACTTTTAGGCTAGGTAGCTCTGTTCTCTGCTACCTAGTGGACACCCCACGAGCTTCTTCCACTCAATCTTTTATTCTTTCACTCCCATAAATTTTATATATTTATCCCCTCAGCACTATGTGTGTGCGTGTGTGTGCACACACACGCATGGACTGCATGTAGAAGGGTCCTCACAGAGGCCAGAAGAGGGCATCTGATCCCCTGGAGCTGGAGTTATAGGCAGCTGTGAGCCACCCGATGTGGGTGCAGGGAACTGAACTTTGGTCCCCTGGAAGGACAGCGTAAACTTCTGGGCCATCTCTCCAGCCCTCTTCATCCCCATTCACATGCAGTCTTACACTTTCTCACCCATGCCTTTATCAGGCAGAATCTGGCCATGTCAACATGTTCAGAGCGACAGAAAACCAGAGCAGAGGCCACCTCGCCACCCAGCATCAACGAGGCTGACACCTCCATCCAAAGGACTCTCGCTGTGTGTCACCTCTCGATGCCGACCACCCTGAGGAACAGCACTTCTTAGAACAACTTCAGGGAAGCTGACAAACAGGTCTGTGCTCTCTCTCACTGGGGTTTTCCATCTCTAGGGACATCTGTCTGGCTGTCAGAGGGGGAATCCAGGGTCCATAGCCCTCCGAGGGCCATGTGACATCGGGGTTCAAGAGCCGATCTGAGCCACTAAGCCGGATGACCTGAGTTCCATCCCTGCCCAGGACTCATGAGGTGGACACAGAGAACTGACTCCTGCACCACGGTGTCCTCTGACCTCTGCGCCCTCCCTGCAGCAGAGGATCACCTTGGCATGTGCGTCCCCCCAACCTTCACCTAATTAATGAATAAAAATAGTTCTTTATGTTTTTAAGAACAAAGCTGGCTTTCCATTGTTCAGTGTGTATGTGTGTGTGTCCACATGTGTGCACGCGTATGTGTGCATGGGGGCGCCCAGGCATAGGCCGGAGGTAAACAATGATATTTTCCTTAATTGCTCCCTGCCTTATTTTTTGAGACAGGGTCTGACTGAACACGGGCTGGCCAGTGAGTTCCAGGGGCTGGCCTGTCCCCACACCTCACCACTGTCCCCTGCTCTTCACCATTGCTGGGGACCTGAACTCATGTCCTCACACTTGCTCACAAGCTCTTTACCCACTGAGCCACCTCCCCAGACCCTGGAACCTCTGGTGGCAACAGCCTCAGGCCGAAACACCTGGTTTTCAAGAGAATGTAGGGCCTCACGAGGCGCGTTTGACATTTGACGTTGCGGAATGATGTCGTCCTTTACAAACCTCACAATACAGCTTTGGAAAAATAACCAAAACAGGAAAACCCAAACAGAAACCAACCAAACAAACAAACAAAACCCAAAACAACTCTTAGTGTTTTAAGTGAGGCTATGCTTTTCTGCTGGGCCACATTCATAGCTCCTTAGCCAAGCGTGGCCACATGCAGCCTGCTGCAGGATGGACACCTGGTAAACAGGCTTGCTTTGAGTCAGTTTTACGACGACGACGACTTTAGACAGATAGCTGAGGTCTCACTCTAGGAGTGATGGCTGAATCCCACAATTAACCCTGTTACAGGCAACACAGCACCAATCCCGGTGCATCTTAAATTAACCCTGGCTGGAAAAACAGTCACAAATCCTGAGCTCCTGAAGCTTTCTGTGGATGTCTGAGGACTGCAGGAGCTGACGATGAACCCCAGGGATGGTGGTGTGGGAGCCAGGCTGCTGTAGGCATTAAAGTTGCTCCAGGGCACTTGGGCTTTAGGGTCACCAGGCTAAGGTCCACTCTTCCTTGCTTTCCCAATTGTCTGGTGTTTTCTGTACAGAAGGAAGGCTCCTTCCTGCTTACATGTTCATGTATGCTGATTTGCCCAGTAGAAAACCTCACTAAATTTGCACAAACCGCACATGAGGCATGCACTGCCGTCATCCCCAGTGTTCTCCCTAAGCACCAGTGACTAGCCCTACCTCCAAGTTTACACAGGCGAGGTGACCAGGCTACACGATGCCCTCCCCCGGCAGCACTCACCTCATCACGTGGATACATTCTGGCTCCTTGGTAAAGCTGTAGGCATAGCCACTGGATGTGGTCCCAAAGTCGATGGCCACCACCACAAGAAACGTCTGCTGTTCTGAGACCGGGTCAGCATCGTTCTGCAAATGCATAGCAAGGCCGTGGAGGGTCAGCGCCAGGCAGGAAGAAGCCTCTGCCCTGCCCAGTTTCACCTTCACTACAGGTAGACCACCCCAGCTCAAGCAGACCAGCCTCAGATCCCACCTGAGTGGCTCCAAGAGAGATGAAGACACCCCAGATTGGGGTGTGGGTCAACTGTCTAAGAGCGCCACCTACAGACACTTCTCAGCTGTGCACACGGAGGTGCTACCATCGTGCCCAAGCCCCGTAGAGTGGCTCCGTGTGTGGACACAATCTCCCCACTGCCGCTGTCCCCAGCTCCCTCTACAGAACCCCTGCCACCACTCAGAGCTCTCGCCAGCGCCTGCTCCATCTTTACAGTGTTTCCTTTACCTGGACAGGTGCATGCGTGGTGACTCTGTCCAAGCCCACATACCCATCATGAGACCTCAGGGCCCAGGCCTCATGTGCACAGCTGTTCCTCATCTGTGAGGCCATTTGAACAGCCCACCTCAGGTATCTCAGCTTTCTTTTTTTTTCCTAAAGCAATGTAGACTTTCCTTTCCTTTTCTTCTATTTTAATTCCCAAAGAACACCAAAATTATAAACCTGGCAAACTGTGGACTGAGCTGCTCTGGCTAAATTGGGGGTGAGAACACTACCACTGGCCTCCCTTCTCACTCTCCGCAAGTGCCCTCCCAAGGAGCAAAGGGTACAAAGTCTGAATTTTAGGGGACCAGGCCCACAGGTTACTATTTCCTCCAGTGTACTCAGGATGTGGTCCAGGACTAAGGGAGTTTCCCAGATTCAAGACTGAGACTCCTGAGTGTAAGCCTTTCACACTGAGAGGGCTCTGGGACAAACAAAAAAGGCAGCAACCCCCTAGGGGGCAGTGGCTCCCATGTGTTCCTCACTAGAGCCTTTGTGGATCTGAACAGCGAGTCCAAAGCTACGCTTCTGTGGGCTGCCCCTGCCATCCATCTTTCCTTGTATGGGGACTGGGGAGGGCAAGAGCCCATCCCCTAAGACCAGTGGCTGCTCAGATCTCTCCAAGGAAAATGGAGAAAGAAGCAATTCCCTAGCCACTGATTCTTGGACACAAAGAGAACCTCTGTAGTGGGTAGCCATTCCAGCTTTGATCTGGAAGGTCCAACTCCCATTGAGACTCTGGCAACTGTCACACCTACGAGGCGGGGCCAGGGGAGGCGCCTGGAGACCCAGATCTGGATGGGCCAGCGCTCTCTCTCTCAGTTCTGGGACTCTGAACAGTGGAGGGGGACCGAGCAGAGCTCCAGAGAACACTGCTGGACTGTGATACACCTTCCCCAGATCCCGTGACCTACCTATCACTTAATTTGTAAGTTACGCCATTAAATAAATATCCTTTTAACTACGTGGAGTGGCCTTAATAATTTCACCAATATCTAAACCTCCATGGACAAAGTCACAACATTTTGCTGACTGGTCCCCAAGACATGGTGCTTCCTTACAAGAAGTTGCCTTGTCATTTCTAGGCTCTGGTCTCTCAAGAGCTGATCCCTCTGTCTGCTCACATTATCCTCCAGGCTGGTGTCTCGGCAAACATCAGCCACACCTCAGAAAGCTTTTCCAGGCCAGGGTATGGAATAGGTTTGGCAGAGTGCACACACTACCACCACCTCAATGTACACTCAGCAAAGGGAGAGAGAAAGCAAAGGCAGTTAGTGCATGCACATGCTCACACACACATATTTCTTACCAAGATATGGGAAGGGGACAGAGGTGTTATTCCTGTGTCCCCGAGACTCCGGGCTGGAGAGGAATATGCAGATGTGGGGGCCGTTTCTAAAAGCAAAGACAAAAATTAGATTCTTAAAAGTGACATGGACCAGTCTAGGGAGCAGAAAAAGATGCTATGTGGCTTTGCTCTCCACACAGGGGTTCTTGCAAGTCTGCTACCATGCTGAGCAGAGCGAATTCCCAGCCAGGAAGGCAGGATGTCCCTGCCCAGGCCAGCACCTTGTGCTTGGCCTTTAGAACTTGAACAACTGGATGTCCCTATCCCTTTTCTCTAAGTGACCACCAGGCCTGTCACTGTCCACACACACACACACACACACACACACACACACACACACACACACACACACACACACTGCTGAACAGGAGGTGCTGCTCTGTTCCCAGAAGGGCTCAGCTCCTGGCCAGGTGCTCTGTAACGCAGACTCCACAGTGGGCTAGTGCAACCTGAATCCTCTGCAGTAGAACGTGGTCCTCTGAGCAACGCAACCATCACCTTCATCAGATCAGCTGTAGCTGTTTGCAAGAACCCACCTCAATGGGGCCTGTCAACTATGAACATTCCCTCACCTGAGAGTCCAGCCTTTCCTCCCAGCATGTGTATGCCATTCTGCCCTAATTGCAGTGGCCTTGGGGTCTTGGGAGTGCTGGAGTACACAGGCAGGGGGAACTTTAATGGAAGGGGCTCCTCCAGTGTGGCTATGGAGAAGCCATGACCCCAGTGCTCGGTGAAGGTTTTCTAGTATGGCTGCTTTGTAGTCACCCATGCTCTGTAAGCCCAACAAACTCATTTCCCACTCTGACCTTTGGTGGAATCATATGTTGTTACTGAGACTTTATTTTTATTTATTTATTTGGTTGGTTGGTTTTTTGTTTGTTTTTTTGAGACAGGGTTTCTCTGTGTAGCCTTGGCTGTCCTGGAACTCACTTGTAGACTTTTTTTTTTTTAATGTGCAATGGTGTTTTGCCATGGGTGTCTAGTTGACTGGAACTGGAATTACAGGCTGTTGTGAGCTGACAAGTGGGTGCTGGGAATTGAACCCGGGTTCTCTGGAAGAGCAATCACTGCTCTTAACCACTGAGCCATCTCTCCAGCTCATCACTTGTAGACTTTATAATGGGGAGAGAGATTCCGTTTATGTCTCTCCAGGGAAGGAATTTTTGCAGCAGTACCAGAGAGGATGTGATAATTTCCATGGATTCTGGAAAAGCATCTATAGCCCACAGGCTCCCAAAGGTGCACAGGACACCCCCTATCCCAGGGTTAACAACTCCTGTCCACAGGACATGGAGCATGAGTACAACTCCGAGGACAGCATCTGATGGCCGATGCACGACCTGCCATCTTCTTCTAGCACAAGGACCTCCAAAGCATGGACAACTCATGTCCAATATTGGGGGCGTGTAGCAGCCAAAAGGGGGCTAGGTTAGCTTCCCTGGCCCTGGGACACAAGGAACCCTAAGTCAAACAGAAGAAGGGCCAACAGCAAAGTAGCATAAATATCATGTTGTCCCGGCCCTGTTGCAATGATCCAAGTACAGACATTTGTTCTGCAGTAGTCTCAGGGGCCCCCAAGGACAAGACACACTGTCCCTGGTCAGTGCTTGAAGGCTCCACAGTGGCCTTATGCCCATTGCCCAGGGCTGGCAGGGCACCAGAGCAAGCAAGCAAAGACCAGAAGCTGCCAACCAAACGGGGAAACAATAGCCAGATGCCTCACGCCCACCAGTACCAGGGTCCAGGTCTTACTCTGAATACCATGCTGGTTTAGTACACAGCTTAATTCCATGTGGGCAGTAGGTGGGTTGGCTTTCTCTGGGAAAGGCTCTCCCCCCCACCCGCCGGGGGGTGGGGGGAAGCATGAAAAATAGCTCCATCTGCTAAATCACTTTGCGTTAATCTCAGGCTCTTGCAGAATTACTTTTTTTCTACTTGGTGGGAATTCAAACAGCATCATCTCAGTGGCTCTTGAACAGACTGAGGAGTGAAACAGATCACGAAAACGCAAATGGAAATCTTTGATGGGAAGCTTTGAATCTGCAAGTCACCTCCCATCTGTGGGCTTACAGCCCTTCTCTTCACCAGGAGAATCAGCAAGTATAGAAGATGGCCGGCTTCAATGCCACCAGAGAAATGCAGACCAAAACTGCAATGAAAGCAGGGTGTGGTGGCACACACCTTTGATCCGAGCACCTGGAAAGCACAGGCAGGCAAATTTCTTGAGTTTAAAGCCAACTGGTCTACCAAAAACTACAATGAGATGTTACTTCACCCACAAGGATGACTATAATTTTTGAGAGGAAAGGAAAACAAGTTTAGAAATTGGAACTCTCATGCATTGCTGGTGAGAATGTAAATGGTGCAGCTGCTGTGCAAAACAGTTTGGCAGCTCCTCGAAATGTCATATACAGAATAACTGTATGATCCAGCAATGTGACTACTAGGGACTTGAAAACAGACTCACAGAGAGACTTGTATGTGAATGTTCATTGCCGCAATATTCACAATAACCAAACGGTAGAAATAAGCTCATGTGTCCACCAACAAAGGAGTGGGTAAGTAAAACGTTGTTCACTCAACACAGTGGAATGGTATTAGGAGCAGTTCAACTATGTGCAAAGGGAATGACATTCCTAGACACACTGTAACACCAGTGGACCAGGAAACTATTGAAATAAGCTAGACACGAAAGGGCAAATAGTACGTAATTTCACTTGTATGAACTATCCAGAACAGGCAAATTCAAAGAGTCAGAAAGTAGATGAAAGGTCACTGGGAGTTACTGCTTAATGAGCCCAGAGTTCTTGACCGGGACAATGAAAAGTTTTGCAAATAATTAGTGATGCTGTGGCACAGTGTTGTGAATATAAACCATGCTGCCCAACTAATGTACATTTTAAAACTGTTTCAATGGAAAGTTTTGTGTTATGTATACTCTAACATAATAAAAAAAATCATTTATTAAAAACTCATCTTGGGCTGGGGATGTACCTCAGCTAATAGAGTGCTGGCCTAGCATACACAAAGCCCTGTGTTTGATCCCCAGCATCATATGGTGACCCACACCTGTAATCCCAGCACTGTGAAGGTAGAGAGGCTGGAGGATCAGATACTCAGGGTCATTCCCATGCTGCATAGGAAGTTTAAGGGCAGCCTGGACTACTTGAGCTTTGTCTAAAAACAAAACCTATCACTCATCTTGCTCATCAGAGGACACAATATTTCCTGTACCTATCAGTACCCATGTCCCAGGGTGCTTGGGAAGAGAGAGTACAGTTGGCTCCTCGGCTAGCCCACTGAACACCTCCAGCTTTGTTCGTCTCCAAGCTCAAGGCCCCTCTTTCCACAAAAGCCAGAGGATTCCTCTGTCTCCACACGGGGGCCCAGCCAGGCAATCATTCCACTGGGGTAACCTCGGGAGAGCTGCCATCTACGCAGGAGCTGCCCTCTCCCCACCTGCTACCTGGAAGGCCTAAGGCTGTGTGTCCACGTTTGCACAGAAGGTCTTGGAAGACACCAAACATCTAATTGCCCAGAAAATCTGGTGCTGGCAATTAGCAAACAAGTTATCATGCACAGATGATGCATCCACCCTGCTGTTGCCTGGTTCTAATTATCCCATCACTCAACCCTTCTCAAGCATGTCTTTGTTTGTCCCACTGACATGCAAAACAGCACATGTCCAGCCATGCATTGAACATGCACATGCCTTGGAACCTCAGGGGACACCAGGATATACTGAGGGCAAAAATCAAGGAGGCGGTTCTCATCCTCCCCTCCGCCGCTGCATATGGCATGGTATTTAAAAAAAAAAATCATTTGACTTGCTGATCACTTTCCAGGCCTAGAGGCAGTCGAACTTCATGGACTTCTTCCATTAGAAATTAAAAGTCAGCTGCACTGTGCAGATTTCAAACTGATCTGCATAGATGGGGTGGATTGGTAACATTTTCATAGACATGAACAAAAACACTTTTTAAAACTTCATGAGGAAATGGAATAGCCTACTGTACTCCCTGAGAGGTAACAGTGAAAAGTTCCTGGGCACTGACAGTCTCAACCAGAACTGACTTCTTTCATGCTGTACACAAATAAGGATAATTAAACACACACATGAAAGGACAATGGAGCATCAACCACTTCCTGATGGATAGGAGATAACAAACCCCAGAACTGATCTATGAGTCTGCGAGCATAGGGAAGAAGAGTATTTCTCTGGCTATCCCTTACCAAAGGCCGTCTACAAAGGGACACGCCGCGTGTCATTGGTTCATACTGCTGTACAGTGACATCTCCATAGGACACAAAGCTCAGCCAGCAGAAGTTTCTGACTGGTGGGCTTAGGAACAACGAAGCCAAAGAGAAGAAAACTGGCTCAGCTGTAGGAGTGGGGAAGGAAGACAGCTAAGATGTAGACTAGAGGGAAGTGCTTTACGAGGAAGGTGGCCAAGGGCAGAGCTGAAAATCCTAGGAATCCCACTGGATCACACAGAGACTATCCAAGGTCTGTCCATAGCACCGTGGGTGGATCAGCTTTCTGTGGCTGTGACAGAATACCTGAGATTATCAACTAAAAAAGAGGGGTTTATGTTGACTGACATCTCAGAGGATTGGCTCTGGTGCCTTGGTCCTGCTGCTCCAGGCCTGTGGTGGGGACATGTGGTGGAGGAAGTCTGCTTACCTCATTTGGGCCAGGAAGTACAGACAGACAGACAGAGACACAGACAGACAGACACACACTCACACACACAGGCGTGGGGGAGTCTCAATACCTCCTTCGAAGACACATGCCCAGTGACCTCACATCCTCCCAGGAGGCTCCGTTGTCTCCCAGTGGCCTTGGCAGGAAGGGAAGAGGGACCCCGAAGTTAAGTCACAGAAGTTAGAAGGACAGGGACCATTCAAAGATGCAAGCCATCAATGGCAAAACCCAACAGGGCTAAGAGGAAGTGACCCTGGTGTTTTCCGGTGAATGGACATTTAATCATCAAGTCTCCTTCATCACTAGTTTTAGATAATTTTTTGTGGTGCTAGGAACTGAACT